CACAATAAAAGGTGATACTAATTTTAAGTATGAGACAAAGTGTACCTAGATCTATTAAAACTTTGGCAATAAATGAGATACCTACCATCAGCTCGACCAGTGTGTAGACAGATTCATGCCTCTGTAAGTACTCATATGAAAATCATATGCAAGCACAGTGTCCACACATTGACAGCCACTTTCTCTTTAAACAAATGCTCACATATACTTTCTCCTTTCTCTCTCTCTCTCTCTCTCTCTCTCTCTCTCTCTCTCTCTCTCTCTCTCTCTCTCTCTCTCTCTCTCTCTCTCTCACTCACTCACACACACACACACACACACACACACACACACACACACACACATACACTCTCTCTCTCTCTCTCTCTCTCTTTGTGGCTCTTGTCTTTTCCTTTCTATTCTTCCTCCTCAGGCACTTCTTACCATTGAAAGTAATCTTTTCAAAGGAGAGGACAGACATGATCTGATTGAAAGTCTTTGAATCCTCCTCGGCAGTTTCTGCTTGCTTCTGGAGATGTGAAAACACCTATAAAGAAAATAACTTGCGTATAAAGAGATTACCCTTGATTGAGTGGAGTGAATGACTGAGTGAGTGAGTATGGTGGGATGAGAAGAGGTGAGAATGGAGAAGTGAGGGAAGAAAAAGATTAAAGGGCATAAAGTGATGTATATTCATTTCCATATGAACTAAATTGTGCTTCCATGTAAAGCAAAGAAAGATTTTTTACACTATTTTGAAGACAAACAAAACCCCCTTGTAAGTGTGAGGATATACATGAAGTATTATCACTGACCCTTCAGTTATATCTGCCCAATCTTTTCTCCAAACTTAATGTCTTATAACCCCAATATAGAACTTTCTATAGAGGAATCAAGTTTGTTTCTGTGATGAATATTATGTCTAATTTTTTTTAGATTTTTCTTGTAATCATTTGTAATAAGCATTTGTTTGCACAACCCAAGTTGTATTCCTTTATTCCTTTTGCCAGTCCATCCCTGCATTGCTCTAAAAGTAAACCTGCTTGGCTCAGAGACCTCTTGCTGTCCCTAGGATCTAGCATTTTTCCTTTGAGTTTGTTTGTTTCTTCGAAAGTTTCATGGTTTTTCAATTTCCATGACAGTGTTTTACCTTTTCATAATTGTAACACGTGAAGTCCTATTTGTCATGACAACACATTTGCTGAAAGAGAAATTGGCCGGATTTTCTCATGTGAGTTTTTCATTACAAAAGAAATATATGTGTTGGCCAGTAGTATATTTCTGGTCCTGTATGGCAAGTCCCTCTCAAGCCACACCTATGACAGAACATCCATATCCTATACAACATACTATCATATATTTATGTATTTTAATATCTATATATTTAGTTATTCATAAATACATCTATATACAAATCTTATTATTTTTTATGATAAAAGAATTATGTTATATGTGTTTTTACATATTCATAGCAATATATCTCCATTTTCACTCATATGGCAGGGGTAACTATGATAACTTTGCACTAAGTTATAACAAAGAGATATGCATTGTTTGGTGCAATAAATGAGCTCTCCAAAAGCATGCATCTAAAATCTGCCTTAGTAAATCCTCAAAAGTTACACTTTTTTTTTTTGCATTTGGGGACAGACAAGTTCTTTGATGCTAATAGGAGTTTCATAAGATTCTAATTTCCTTGTTTCTCTTTTTTCTATGTTGCCCGAAGTTCACTCTAACCTTCAACCAACCTTCATACAGTGGTTATAAGAACCCTACTGCTTTTTTCTTTTGCCTCCTTCAGTGTCATTTTTCTAATCTGCATAGGGTCCCTTAGACAAACAAATATAACTACGCACATTACGGTCTAGCTTAAGAGCACAAATGGCGGAGGTATAAAATGAAGGTGAGAGGCATAGGTACGTAGTTATGTTTTGGACATGACTTTCTCCTCCTATCAATAGCCTCCTTATAACTTCCCACTGCATATTGCAAATCATTTATGCGGGAAATTTGCATGTGTGACAATTGGAGGGGTAAGGCTGGAAAAAATGGGTACGGGAATGCGAGTCATGCAAGATGTCAAAAAATAATAAAAATATTTCAACAAAATAAACCTGTGAATTTCTAATTTGCTATGGAAGATATTGACCATATCCTTGCAAAGTATATATGAAGGTGTGCGTATCTACAGGTGTTCCCAGACCAACTGAACGGAAATGTATTTATAAAATGTCTCGTTACTTTAATGTTCAATAACATGAGCATGAATACGTCCATGTTAAGGCATAACAATTTCGTAATTAATGTTAACATAATGATGTTCTTGTTGTATGTAAACAAAAAACTTAATAAATGAATTTTAGGGCAAGTGGTCTCAGACCCCTTTAAATGCACATGCCTCACAGATCATCTGTAAAATTAGTCAACCACTTTAACAAATACTAATTTCTGTAAACATACATATTACATACATAAATAATTAAACAAATATATATATATATATATATGTATATATATATAT